TTATGATAACATTTAAAATTGAGAAATATTTTTATAATATTATCGAGAAAAATAAACCTAAAATGCGAAAAATCGACAATAAATATTTCGCAATATTATTGCTGACTTGCCAACATTTTCTGCGGGCAACTAGAAAAGAATATCACTCAGAAAATCAGATATTTGCATTGTTGTGAAATGTTGCGAGATTGCATGAGAGAGGATGTTCGAGTGATCTACGACTTCGTCTAAATCAAGCCATTTTCGATTTTTTATCTTGGCATGGCATCAAAAGTAAAATCCGTTTCGTGCTAGGCATCCACTGTTCTTAAAATGGTTCTCTGGCAAGGTGAATGGTTCTTATTTCGAAAGTCAGTGGTGTCAGTAAAGTAAAGATTAGCACTGAACTATTCGAGAAATTCATACGAAATAATTGCTTGCAATGGACATAATAAGGCAAATAATTGATGAAAATTGTTTGAACAATTAAACGAACCGAACAAGGAATGAATCCAACTCATTAACGTAATCTAACTTGAAAATAAGGCGCAGAACAGAAATGAATGGGTGCAGAAACCGGCTGCCCCTTCTTTTTTTTAGCTGCAATATTTCCTTTCCCATCCTTCTTTGATGTCACATGATCATTTGAACTTCAATTTGTTCAAATTAACTTTCCAGAACAAATTATTTTACAATTAAAGGTTCTTGGTTGCGAATTGTTCGTAAAATGGTTCAAAATGTGAACAGCACAAAAGAGCAAAGGCAAACAAATGGATAAGGTTGGTTGTCTTGCGAACTTTGTAAGGTGCTAAAGTTAGTCTACATGAGAGCACCTTAAGAGAGTTCAATTAATGTAAATTTAAAATAGTTTCTCGATTAGTTTCCAGTAAAATTATGGTATTCAATTTATGGATACATTATCATTATCATTATCATTTGTTACGTCATGTTTTCAAATTATGTTTTAAGCGGAGTCGCAAATAAGAATCTCTTCAGGCTTTGCCTTTTCATGGAGATATTTTAGGCATGGCAAGACCATAGTATAAAATTTGAGACAAGGATTAATAGATCCATGCGAAAAAAAATATCAAATTACGGGACTGTCTCGTTTCCATATGTTTCTTCCTTTTTCTTCAAAATCTTAAAACACCGCTCATTCCATTTTTCATTCATTTTTCTTTCTGTTGTTTAGAACATTTACATTATGACTCATTGGCCATTTTTATAAAGTGCCCGAGGCATTTATTTTAACTGCATTTTAAATTGCTGTACTCCAGTCAATATCCCTAAAATATACACCAATATGCACCATAATATTCCAAACTTCTATTGAACTGTTCAGTTTTAAAAAATGTTATGCAAGGCTTTCTTACCAGATGCTAGATTTATATATTTATTTTATAAGTTGTTTTCGGCGAAATGAAGAAATGAAATTGATGAAAAAGAGCTTGGAAGTAAGAATTTTCATATTTTTAGTTTTCTAGATAGGGGCCTTTTATATATAAAAAAATTTTAAAATGCAAAGAATTTGTATAATATAGAAAAATTTCACCGATTGTCGGCCTAAAATGATTTACAGTGATTCAAATACATATATATTTAAATAATATATATTTGTATATATTTAATAATAATATATTTATATATATAATATAAAATATAATACATAAAAACTTATAACAACTTATAAAATAAATATAATTAAATAATTTAATGAATAATTTATAAATAAAATTTAATGAAAGAAAAATTGCAAAAATTATATACCTATGCTTTGTATTATTATTATTATCATTATTTTATTATTTTTTATGCTTTTCAAAAAAAAATACAAAAAGAATATAAAAATATAAAAAATATAAATATAAAAAAATTTATTTTGTAGTGCAAATCAAGATGAAATTTCTTTTGTTCATTTTCATAAAATATATTTTTCAGTCTATTTTGTCTTATAACATATTTATGCATTTTTCTAAATTTTCTATTCAATTAACAATTTATAATTTATGAACTGAAAACCAACAAGTGGCAACTAGTGGATATTGTATTAGATTTCTTTCTAGCTGTGATATTTGAGCAGAATGGTTGATTGGTTGATGACTTAGATCATTGTGCTGAGAAATAGGAGTTCCCGATGGAGGAAAACTTGTCATCAAAAAATTCGAGCGCTGCTGGCGAGTCGTTGAGATAAACTTGTTGAAAAATTCGATGATGCTGGCTATTTAAATCTGCTTCCATCCTTAATGGATTACTTAGAATATTCGTTCAATGTGGCTAACCAGCGAAGTGAGCTTACAGTCTGTCGCCAAATGATTACCTAACAGAAATTGCTGGCTCTATTATTTATAATAGACTCTAGTGTTAGCCTAGCAGCAATTGGTATGCTTATCCTTACCCATTTAAAATTTTATAAATTTCCGACCACGATACTCTCGAATCATAAATTAAATTATAAAAATTTACGATACAATTAAGTTTGTTGCGAAATATTTTTTGTTAGCCAATAGTTTTTAAATAGTTGAAAATTAAAAGAGATTTGAAAAAAATTCAAATTAGTGAGAAAATTTGCCAAAAAAATTAGTAAATTTCTTCAATTTGTACAAAAAATTATTCGATTCGATCGACAATAGCACCAGATGGTCGCTCTTCTTTTTGCATTCAATAATTTTTCAAATAACTCGCTATTGTCAATCATTTTACCATTTTCAATGCAACAGCTGTCGAAATTTCTTGAATTGGCTCGAAAAATTTTTTTACCGCTCTTCGAGGAGATTGTAAAAAAACGATCCTTTGAGGGGAACAAATCACAGCCAATACGTAATTGTACCGTAATTACGACGTCTCTTGGAACTGAGGAAATCTCTTTATCGAAAAAATTCATACCAAAAAGGACGATTGAATAATGAGAAGATGGGATTCTTTAAAAAGCTGTAAAAATGTAGAATTCTATAGATTTACCAGAGAGAAAAAAAAAAGTCGAAAAAAATCTACGAAATCTTTTATTTTGATTTATTATTTTAGTATTACGACAGATATTGGATCGGTTTTTTCAATGAAATTAAATCGTGATTTAGTATTACGACAGATATTGGATCGGTTTTTTCAATGAAATTAAATCGTTTAGGATTAATCAGTTGAATTGTCCGATAATCCGGGAATTTTTAGAATTCAAAATCGCATTATTTTGACAAAAAACTTCGGAACCTCTGGTTTTTAAGCCGCTACCACATTCGTTATCACATTCGCAGGCTTGTTCCTAGGGTTCGATTCTTCGAGAAAATTTGTTGTTAAAAAATCCTGTTGATATTGCAGAGAAGCCTACCCCTATGCCTAGACGAAAACCTATACTTCTGACTAACACTCTGGAAACGAGCCTAAAAACCAGAAATGGTGAACGCTGTTTTTTTTTTGTATTTGTTTTATTCCTTTCTTTTAACTGAATTCGATCGGTTTTTCATCGGTTTTAATTATTCTAGAATTATTCATTTCAAATTTTTTCTTTTTTTTTTTCTTGTAATATATAATATTTTTTAATATTTTATTTTTTAATATTTTTATATTTTATAATGTTTTTGTAATAATTAACGATAATTTATTTGAAACTCAATAGTTTACTTCGTAATAGTTTGTTCCATCTTAACTGGTAAATAGAATAAATTCTTGGAAATTTTTTAATTTTGGAATAAATTTTCGATTAATAAATTGATAAAATGATAAATTTTTGAAATTATGGTCACAAATAATAATTGAATAATCATGAGCGAAATCAATGAGAATTTTTTTTTGGCATAAATTTTCGATTTTTTATTTTTTTCCAAAATCATTCATAAAAAATTGTTTATTTT